TGTGATAGGGAACAACTGAGCTTCCCATCAACAACTGCTCATCCATAAATTCATTAGGAATGGCTTCTGGATGAAGGGCAAGTGATTCCACTAAAACAGCACCAACCCTCTTTGCTATTAGATGCTTCTCACACATGGCTTTGACCACTTGAGCTGAACCTTGTTCAGGTAATTCATCTAAATGAGCAAGAGTGAACTTCTCAATACGCTCATGCTCCTTCTGAGACATAGGATCATCTATTAACTCTCCATGAGGACTTCTGGATAATCCATCCGCATCCAAATTTTGTCTCCCCCCTCTATACTGCAGGCTAAATGAAAAAGTGGAAAGTGACGAGAGCCACCGATAACTTGTAGCATCCAACTTTGCCGATGTTAAAATGTATGTAAGCGGATTGCTATCTGTTACTACTGTGAAAGTGTTGCCATAAAGGTAGTCACAAAATTTATCCACAACAGCAAGAAATTCTAATTTATGCGCAGGGTACTTAGCCTCACTACGGGTAAGACCTCTACTGGCATAAGCAATTACCCGCTTCTGTCCATCCTGCTCCTGGTAGAGGGCAGCACCTAACCCAGTGGTGCTAGCATCTGTATGAAGAACATAAGGGAGTTCAGGGTTAGCAAAACCAAGGACTGGAGCTGTAGTAAGCATCTCAATGATGTTTTCAAAAGCTTTTTGACAGGCATCTGTCCAACAATCCTGAAATGGCTGTTTTGGGTTAATGTATGTCCGATGCATCCCAGATGTGGTGACTTTCCTACCAATAGGGGGATATCCTGCTGTTAGGTCATTTAGGTGCTTAACTATCTTAGAATAGTCCTTCACAAACCTTCGATAGTATCCAGAGAACCCTAGGAATGACTTTAACTCCCTCAAATTCTGAGGTCTTGGCCATGTTTTCAGGGCAGCTCTCTTTTCAGGATCCGTTTCAACACCTTGCTGGGATACGATGTGGCCTAAATATCGGACAGACTGTTGGAAAAATCTGCATTTCTCTGGAGATAGCTTCAACCCATTCTCTTTGAGGCGAGTAAGGACTTTAAAAAGCCTTTCTTCGTGTTCCTCTAAGGACTTAGAAAAAATGATTAAGTCATCTATGAACACAAGCACTTCCTTCAGGTTCATCTCTCCCATACACCTCTCCATCAATCGCTGGAAAGTACTGGGTGCATTAGTTACCCCCTGCGGCATGCGATTAAATTCCCAGAACCCCAATGGACAGACGAATGCAGTCTTAGCTTTGTCAGACTCCTCCATCTCAATCTGATAATACCCTGATTTTAAATCAAGGACCGAAAACCATTTAGATCCTGTGAGCGTAGCAAAAGCTTCCTCGAAGCTTCCCTGAAGCATGATCCTCTGTCCGGCAGGCAAGACTTCTGGAGCTTTACTTTTCCACACTACAACCCCAAGTCTACCACTTGAAGCCTGCCTCTCTCTAAGTGCTAGGGTTTTCAATACAACCCTGTACCCATGGGATGATGGATTATGCTTGGACGTTCTCAACTGAGAGTACTGGCTATACAAAACATCAAGGGCATTTGTCCCTATAAGTACCTGAGATAGGTGACTGGAGTAAAAGTCTGGGACTACAAGAGCAACAGTAGAAATAGTGATTTCAGTTTCTGAGAACTCTTTTGGAAATGTGATGTCAAGTTCTATGAATCCTTTATATGGCACTGACTTGCCATTAGCACCTTCGACTTCAAGCAGATCAGCTATAGGTTTAATAGCTTGATCTGAGAAATGTTCCTGGTAAAAGGAATAGTGGTCACTTGAGACCCAGTGTCTAAAAGACAATTGCAAGTTTTTCCAACAATACGCACTGCAGCTACAGTATGCATTTTGATCTGATGAGCCCATTAGGCAAATTTCTGGCAGCCTTCTCTACACATGATTGCTTCAATGCAGCTTTCTTCTTTGTATTAGTGGGACATTCACTTCTACTAGTTCCTGATCGCTCCACAACAGGAACTACTTCAAAGTTTAACCGCGATTTATTCTGCTCATCCCATTGTTGCTGCTTCCACCGAAGATCCTCCCTCTTGGTTCTGACTAAAGAAGGGTTGGGGTCACTCTCACAAGATCTGGCTATATGTCCATCTTCCCCGCATAAGAAACAATAACCTGGCCTTGGCCTTAAGTTAGATGGTTTGCTAGCCTCAGGCGCCTGTGCAGTAGATTTTGCTTTTGCTGCAATTGGAGCAGGAAGCTTGTTAGACCTGGGCGTAACTTTCTGTGTCCTACATGAGCTGGAGGGTGTCAGTTTCTCCAATTGTGCTTGTAGCTGAACAATCTGCGCATTCAGTTTCCGTGTCTCACTAAAGAACTCAGCCTGAGTGACTGTGGAGGGTTCACTGGGCTGGTCACCACGAACAACCTGAGCAGTAGATACAACCCGCTGCTTAGAAACACCTAAATGTTGCCTCATACGGTTGGTTTTAGCAGCTTGTCTATCTTCTTCAGTGCGAATCATGAGAAGCAGCTCGGGAAAGGTTGGTGGATTCGTTTTCTTCTGCTCCAGCTGGAGCTCAGTGAGAATTGATCCATCCCAGCATCCACGGCAAAACTGCTTGAGAAGCAATTTCCCAGACTCACCAGCATTAACAGCTCCTCTCTTCGTGGCTGTTATCAGTGCAACCTGGAGCCTCTGCAGGTAAGATGATGGTTTCTCACCAGCATTCTGAAATGTGTTTAAGAATCGGGCAAATAGCTCATCACCTTCCTCAATAGGTCCAAAAACAGAATCAATCAATTCTAGGTAAGCTCTGGGCGAAGCTGTGGGACCTAATGGCTTGATCACGCCGGCAGCTGGTGGTAAAAGACTCTCGATGATCCTTCTGGATCGATTTAAGTCAGAAAGGGTGGGGTCTTGTAGTAAGAGTTCAACACTGGTACGCCATGTGTCGTAGTCTGACTCATTCATGGGAATTGGCGACCTTCCAGAAAAAGCCCTGATTCTGGTGTATGCCAGGGACTGTGAAGCAACCTCACCATTCCTTACCACATGTTCCACGACAAGCCTTTGCTCCTCTGGAGGGAAAATGTCAATATGCGGGTGTGTTTTTTTCCTTGCACAATGCGTGTCAAGAACAGGGAAGGTTGGGATTTCACTAGCACCATTGTGAGATGAGCTCGCTGGCCCAGGGGTAGGCTCCCACAATGTTAGATAGGGGTGCCTGAGAGACCGACTCATGCATCCGTGATAGCTCTGCTTGCAGAACAGCAACAAAACTTTTACCACTTAGTTCAGCAATATCTCTAAGCTCTTCCAGGTATGCCTCAGTTGCTGTACGGCCCACTTTGACAGCGTAAATACTTGCAAGAGTACTAACTGAATTCAGGTTGGGATATACTCTTATACTCAAGAGGCAGAGATGATTCCAAGGACTGTACCGCAGTACCATAGGTATATTCTACTATCACCTGTTGATAGTGCTCGGATTCAGGGTCAATAATAGGTATCAATCTTGCGATTGAGCCATATTCTTTTAAGTAATCAAGTAGTTCTTCATCTAGTTTAGTGTAGGTTAGCCCCTTAACTATCAGAGAGTTGGACACTTTAACATTCTCTTTCTGAATAATTTCCATCCTGATTTCCTCTAATATTCTAATTTAAGGGGTTGAATTTTCTTTTCCCTATTTTGGGTTACTTCCCAAATATCTACTGTGCAACTGACACCTACAACATCACCTCCTGGCTGGCTCGCCACAATGTAGCACCTGCTTGCTCCAGATTGGCTGTGGTAACCTGGTTGATTTGTCTTTAGATATGGCCAATCCTGAGCAAATCTAGGACCAGTATGTCTAGGTTCGGTACGGAGGTGAGGTGTGGATGGCAGCATACACAGAAGACACAAGGCAGATAATCACCAGCTTTACTAATAGGGATGAAAAATGGTATAACATACACAGGAAATAAAATGTACAACCCATAAAAAAAATACACATTAACTAAATCTGTGACCTTTAAGCTATTTATCGTCAATTTCTCTGATTAATACTAGATTCTAATTCCTATTCAACCAATTTAGAACTATTTTAAATTTAGTTAAGTTTACTTTTATAGCTAAATTTAGAATCAACCACTAATTACATTGAGATTAATTGTAACTGGGCTTAGATTACTTTAAGATTCACCAATTCTTGCTTGTTGGTTACCCTTTTTAGTTCAATCCCACCGGGATGAAGGAAAAGTAAATATTAGGGATGCACCGATACCACTTTTTTGGAAAACGAGTACGAGTACGAGTACTTGCATTTCAGTACTCGCCGATACCGATACCGAGTACTTAATAAAAACATGATTTAAATTTACAGGTAACAGCTTTAGTCATATAATTTAACAAAAAAAAACAAGGGACTAGTTTGGAATTAAGAAAAGCATGTTGTATGCACCATATTACAGAATAAATAATTATAAAAAAAAATTTAAACAGTGACAGTGCAACTCAAGTATTTTTTTCAGTTTGTTGTAAACTCTGCCGCTTTGGACAACACAAGGGGCATTAATAAACATCTTTGCTATTTAGTGCACAATATTTGAATAAACTAACAACATCCACCAACATAGAACTGTGGCAGTCAGTGCAACTGAGGTAGGTATTAACATCAAGTCTAAGACGACTCACTTAATGGAGCCTATTTAGAAAAAGTGAGTGGCAGGTTTTTTTTTAATATTCTATTTTCTGCATTATCAGCAGTCAGCCTGTTTCTGTTTTCATCTATAATGTGTGACACTGAGTGTCACGATCGGGCTCCGGTGATCCGAGAAGCAGGGAAACGGAGCCAGGAAGTCGAGTACAAACGGGGTTTTAATGCTCGAGAGACAGACAGGCAGGGACATCGACGGACACTACAATGACAAGTCTGGGGAAGACTGACTAAGACGAAGACTAAATACACAAGACAAGCTAGACTTAATAGGACACAGGCGATCACAATCAGGGTTGAACACGAGGTAATGAGGGGGGCGTGGCACACATCGGGATCATACGGAGCAGGGTGTGACACTGAGCTAAAAAGCCTTTCACTTTCCACACTGCTACATGGGGCTGAGAGGTATTTCTGGGGCATTTTAGCCAAAGTGGGGAACCTGATTTTGTTGACACCCCAGTACTTCAGAGGACTGTCTTCACGAGGGCTTGGGGCCTCTCCGAGGTATGTGTCGAGCTGAATGGCAGCACCTGCTGCCAGCGGCTGTGCTGCCTGGGGCTGCTCCTTAGCGATTTCTTCAAATACAGTGTCCAGACTGCTGCTAGTGCTGGCCTGGGCCTTGAACAGTTTAGCAGGAGGTTCTGCAGCTTCTGCCCGACTCCCCTCTGCCTCAGCTCTGGACATCATCTGCAGCTCCTGCTTCAGGTGCAGCTTGGCCTCCGGAGCAGTGTTGTTGGAGAAGAAGCGATCTTTATACCTGAACAAAATTCATGAATGTATTAATATGTGGAAAAATAGGACTGATTTTAGTTTCCCCTAAACCACTGTCACAAATGCCAGCCATTTGGCTTTCTGGTAGTAATAAGGAAATTTCATATTATATATATTGCATACATTTGTATTTGTGTATTTTAGTTACAAAAATATAATACAATATTTCAGATGGAAATTAATCTTACATTTAGTACTGTAGTTTATCATTGAATACCTATAGCACACAGACTTTACCTTGGGTCAAGTATGGTGGATATGAAGTACAGTGGGTTGGTCTCGACGTCACTGAAGCGCTTCTTGACAGCTGCCAGTAAGGTTGCTTTCATTGTCTTGACGCCGTGGTCCTCGTCTGTTTCTCTGTTTAGAAGTCTCACTAGCACAGTCACAGCTGGGATGACATCAGAGGCTAGTGCGTCGTAGCTGCTCACTTTTTTAGTTAGTTCCTCAAAGGGGGCGAGGATGGCAACAGTCTTCTCCATAAGAGCCCATTGGTGAGCGGTGAGATAGTCAGGGAGTTCATGCTCGGACACATACACCCTCAGCACTCGCTTTTGCTCAATGAGGGACTGGAGCATGTAATACGTGCTGTTCCAGCGCATCTGTACGTCCTGCTGCAGTCTCTTTATTGGCTGGAATGTTTAATGCGTCCCGGGATCTCCTCCTGGTTGGACATACCTGAAACACCTCCTCAGGGAGGCATCCGGGAAGCATCCTAGACAGATGCATGAACCATCCCAGCTGGTTCCTTTTGATGCTGAGGAGCAGTCACTCTACTTTGAGCCCCTCCCAGATGTCCAAGCTTCTCATCCTATTTCTAAGACCCAGACACTCTGTGAAGGATGCTCATTTCAACTTCTTGAATCAGTGATCTCATTCTTGCGGTCAGTAACCAGAGATCATGTCCACAGGTTAGGGCTGGAACATAGATTGACCAGTAAACAGCTTTTTGGTTTAGCTCTTTCTTCATCATGACAGACCAGTACAATGCCCACATAATTGCTGATTCTGAACCTATCTACCTGTCAGTCTCCTGCCCCATTCTTCCATACTCACAAACAAGACTACGAGATACTTGAACTCCTCTGCTTGAGCCAGTAACTAATCTTCAACCTGCAGGGGCAACCCATCCTTTTCTGGTTGAGAACCATGGCTTCAAATATTCTGGCCACTTCATACTCAGCTACAAACCATCATAGTGCACGTTGGAGGACACTACTTCATGAAGCTGACAGAACCACATCATCTGCAAACATCATAGATGCAATCCTAAGATCATTGAACTGGACACCCTCTACCCCATGGCTGTGCCTAAAAATTCTGTTCATAAAAATTATGAACAGAAAATGATTAGCGTCCAAGACATACAGTCGCAAATCCAAAGATTCAATTACAAAATCAATGATCAAGCTACAGGCAAGGGTGCTGTGATGCCAGGTGAACTTATGAAAAAATTTAGCAAAAAAGTTCAATAACAGAGCACTGTTCAAGTTCAGATTGGACAGGCCATTCCTCCCAATCACACCCTTCCAGGTTTCACTGTCTTTACCCATCTAGGCATTAAAGTCCCCCAGTAGAACAATGGAGTCCCCAAAGAGACTTGGGTCCTTCCAGGACCCCATACAAGGCTTCCAAGAAGGTCAGATACTCTGTACTGGTGTTCAGACAACAGTCAGTGCCTGTGCTGCAACTCAAAGTTGGGCACAGGGCTTCAACTGGAGGGCTACAGCCCAAACCTGCCCGACGCCTCTCATCCAGAGCAACTCCAGAGTGGAGTTCAGCCTCTCTCCAGGAGTTTGGCTCCAGAGTCCATGTTGTGTGTTGAAGTGAGTCCAACTATATCTAAACAGGATCTCTCTACCTCCCGCAATAGTTCAGGCTCCTTTCCCACCAGAGAGGCCACATTCTAAGTCCCTAAAGCCAGATTATATAGCTAGGGATTGGTCCTCCAGAGCCTCTGCCTTTGACTGCTGCCCAATCTACAATGTCCCTTATGGCTCCTCCTGTAGGTGGTGGGCCCCCAGGAGAATGGTCCCACTTGGCTCTTTGGGGCACTGCCCGACCAGGCCCCATGGGTGAAGGCCCGGCAACCAGGAGCTCACCAACGAGCTCCACGATCAGGCTTCGTTCCAGGGCAGGGCCCCAGCTGACCTTTTCTGGGTGAGGTTTCTGGTTCCTTGTGGTCGTGCTCCATAAGGGATATTTGAATTGCCCTTAGTCTGGTCCCTCACCTAGGACCGATTTGTCACGGGAGACCCTATCAGGGGCAATTGCCCCTGACAACATAGTTCCTAGGATCATTGGGACACACAAACCCCTACACCATGATAAGGTGGAGATTCATGGAGGGGTGGGCAGTAGTTGGAGCAATAAATTCTCCAGTAAACCCTGCTATAGCAGGATGAAAGACGAGAAGGATCGTGGGTAAAAATGTAAATGTAGGCTTTGGGTGGAACTGTGAATAGGAACAAGTAACCTGGAGAGGACTGGAGAGTAGTTTAACAAAATGGAGATAAGGTACATAACAAAACATTTTTGCTTCACCCATAGGTGGAGTATGATGTTTGAATTTGGGAGGATTAAAAAACACACCTTTCTTGCCTTATACTGTATGTTAAAGCACATATCTGATGCATACAAAACCTATTTTTTGTGTCCTTGTAGGCAGTGCTTAATTTGTACCAAATGTTACCAGAGTCAGAATCTCTTCTCTCAGGTGAGCTCTGCCATCTACGCAATACAATTAAACTTAAAATTAATTTGAGTTAAACTCTGGAATAAATGCAGATTGATCTAAAGAAATGTATATTTATAAAATTGTTTGTGTCTGAAATTTTGACATTCATTTGCATAAATTAGTATGTTTCATTTATCTGACTTAATCTGCAGAGGAAAAACCTGTTACATTCAAGGACATATTGTTTCTTTCTTTTTCCTTTTTTCTCCTCCACTTTTTTTATATCCATATCTCCGACTGACATTGTGTTGGGTCCCTGACATCATCATACCTGCAACAAACTAATTGGCAGTCCCAGACATGTACACGTTTATAGGTTCATGGGATGATGGAACTGTCAGAAAATTTTATATTTCCCCTTTTGTGCCATACAGGAAGCCCATGTTCGATTCCCAGCCAGTGCACCATTTTTTACTTTTTTTTGGTGGTAACTTACCCTGAAGTCATATTACTTTGTCCTGATTAACTTTCTTTTATTTTGTCTATAATAAAAAAATGCACTTCTGCTAACATCAAATTTTATATTACACCCATTGAAAACCCTCTAGACTATCTTGAAATATGGTCATAAAAAACTGCATCACGGGCACACAGAAGAATCCACTTTTTGCCCACTAAAATACATAAGGTTTCATGACAAGTTAATCAAAATAATTAAAAGAAAATTTTGAAACGATCAAACTCTGCCAGTAGTGCCAGCATAAAAGTAACCCATAAGAATCCAAATAGGTGATGGGTCTTGTAAGCAAGCCCACACCACTTCCCCCCAAGCAGAGAAGGTCACCATGGCTCTTTCAGGACTTGACCTCATTCCCCCACTGTGCAATAAGAATCCCACAGTCAGGTTCACCTGGACACATTGAGCAGAAACCCATTCTTCCTTTGCCCCTGCTCCCTGCACCACTGTCCTCTGTCCCCAAGACACTGAGAACTTACAGACTAGACTAAAGCACAAGAAGCATCACACCAAATGAGCATTAGAGACATACATATGCATGTTTGGTGTTGATGGAATGGTAATGATACGATGTATTCAAAAGTCCCAGCTCCAAAGCAATATGTCATCACATAAGAGAAATTTAGAAAGTAAGACTAATTACACCAGACCCTTGTCTTCAAAGAAATTTCTTCACTTGCTCCTGGTGCTTAAGAAAGGGCTCCAAAGATTATTGGGGAGACACACTGTAATCCAAGCTCCCACAAGTGCGATGTGAGTTTGTATCTGTAGCCAGATCCTACCTGCAGCTACTCAGTGCATCCTCAGCTGAGGTATATGTAACCTTTTGTCTTCATAACATTTGACTCAATAGGATATTGTATAAGTAGGTATGTCACAATCACCAGTTCTGCGCCATAGGGGCTTTGGCAGGCAGCCTCGTTTTCAATTTGGTCGCCATTCCACAGAGCACCAGGGTATCCCGATAGTTTTTGCCTTTTTGTTGTGTTATTTTTGTGTCTATTAGGGTAACCCGTTCTGATAACGTAAAACACACCTTCATCTGGGGATTTCCATTCAAAACACGGTAATCTGACTTTCTGATAACTTCGAAATTTCCTCGTTGGGACAATAAACGTAAGCAGAATTATTCTTCAAATTATGATAATTATATTTC